CGGACGGAGGCGCCCGCTTCAGCGGGAATTGTGTCTGCGCGGCTCGGCCGGGCCGCCTCCCTCGGAGGGCCCCGACCGCTAGCGGGGCGGTAGGGAGGGGCCTGATTTGCAGCCGCGGAGCCTAGGGGCGCCGCCTGGGGTGGCGAGGCCGCGTAGAGGTGGCGAAGGTGGGGCGGGGTAGTTAACGGAGGAGCGGACTTGTGTGCTCGACGGTGGCAGTGAAGAGGCCTGTGGTGGAAGAATTCTGGGTCTGGGGACGAAGACAGTGAGGGAAATAGGTTGATGCTCAGAAGAGGGTGCCCGGGGAGACGTTGAGGGGCCAGGGCGTGTGGTTGGCCTCTTGGAAAAAAGCATTACAAGAGAGTGGGGCGGGGGGGGGAGATCAGCTGGGAACGAAGGGAGGACAAGCTTGGGTTTTGAAGGTTAAGATCGCTGGACAAATAGGGACACGTGGATCTGGAGTAAGAGGCATTTACTGAAGGCAGAAGGTGACCGAGAGGTTTTAGGTGAGGTATGGCTGTAGACTGACTAGAAGGCGTTAGCTGGCCAGTTAGGAGAAATTTCACAAGGATCAAACGAGATAGGTTTACTTATGGTAGCTGAAGGGTGTGGATCTTTTATGAGTAAGTTGGCAAGATTAACTGTCCGTTTTGTCAGGTAGGAGCCAGTCAGCCAGATTCATTTACTCTCATCGAGGGCTAAATACTTAGACTTGTTAACTCTCACCACTGAGGCTGATCTTCCTCCCATCGCATCCCTCCTCCCGCTCCTATGACAGTTTATCTCAGTGTTTTGCCTCAGCAGCACACAAACTCATCCTTTCAGGAGTAATGGCACAAGTAGTGTTTGCTCTTGATTGGATGACAGTGAGAAATCCCTTAAATCTTTATGTTAAGAAGTAGAATGTGTTGGTTTAAAGGCAACATCAGAAGATGTTTTCAGAAAATCTACCCTATAGGGGAATTTCTCAACTATCTTGTTCGGTGTATGTGGTGTAGCTTAAAAATGATGCAAGATCTCTTACAGTAACACAAGTGAAAATGAACATATGTACAATCCTGTTACTCTATAGGATCAGCCGTCTTGATGCAGAATTTGACTTATGTATCGTGCTTTTTGGGGTATATTTCAATCTTGGGAAGAGTTTTGTAGCTAAGTAGGTTCAAAATTCTTTTCACTTAGAGGAAAGAAAAAATGGCATCACTGCTACTACCTTTCTGTTTAAAGGTTTCAGAATTTTTATTTGTGGGTTGTAGGCAGAGAAAGGGTAGTAGAAAAGAAAATGGCCCAGTTCTATACTTCCAGTGGATTTAAACAGGAGGAGGTGGTACTACTGAGGTATAATTTCTACTTGAGGATAGAACAAAAAGATTGTGAAGAGTTAATTACTTCTTTTCAAACGTAAAATAGTAGTGTCAAGGACAAACACCAAAGACAGCATTTGTTGTATAGGAGGCTTCCTTGTTAACCAACTTAACAAAGAATTATAGCTAATGGACCATTTAGGATGTAGAAATAATTTTTGAAAGTGATATCTTGGTAATGCTGTTCACTAATTACATTTTATCCTTAGTATAACAGAATACCTAAGTGTTGAGGTGCTAAGGTGACTCGGAGCAGAGAAGTAATCTGAGTGGTGTAGAGTTAATCAGGGAAGGTTTCCAGGAAGAGGTAAGTTTTGAGCTCTTTTGGACTAGGAGTTGGGATGTGGGTTATTGGAAGACATGAGGATGATGTTTCAGTAGCATGGACATATTATAAGCAACTGTGAACAAGACCGACAAACATGGTTTTTAAGTAGAATTGAAGATTTGGATGAATATTTAAGGGTATGGAAGTCAGCTAAGTCTTTTATGCCTTAATCAATAAATGGTGGTTTTGTATGTTAGCTAGAAGAGAAGAATTTGAGTAGTTGATGATGGAGTAGAGACTGGTAGTGAAGGAAAGAGTACAGAAATATTTTTTGCTTGTTTTGTTTGCCATATGAGGGGGAAATAATTAGGTTTATTCATATATTTATCTTTGGAGGAGGTACTAGGGATTGAACCCGGGACCTCGTGCATGCTAAGCATGTGCTGTGCCACTTGAGCTATACCTTCTCCCCTACAAAAACATTTTTGGATAGTGGTGATAAGAGAAATGTGGTGAAAGTAAGTTGAGTTGTTGAGAGGTAGGTTTGGTATTCAACCATATGTAATAAGCAGAAATATTTTTGGGTCCTGTACTAGATTATGTTGATAATAATAGCAAAATTTATTGGGTACTGCTTTGTACCAAAAACTGTCTTGAGCTTTTCAAGCATCATCTTCCTTTGATTATCCCTACTTTATAAATGAAGGAACTGAAGTTCAGAGAGATTTTTTTGCCCAGCGTTACACAGCTAGTGAGTGGTAGGTCAGGGTTGGCAGAGTCAGTAAATAAATATTAATTGAGCATCTGCTTCTTGCCAGGCACTGTGTTAAGTGCTGGAGATTCAAAGTTGACAAGCAAATCCAAGGTCAGACATGGGCCATTTTTTAGAGATTGTCAGGAGTTAACAGAAGCAAGCCAATGAAGAAATACAAAAAGGTTCGTTGGAGAGATTTTTTAGACACTGAGGAATATACTGTTTAGGGAAACTTAGGGTAAAGTTTTAAGAAAGAGGAAGTGGTCAGCAACAAAATGTGTAACTGAGAGACTCAGAAGAACAAAAATTGAGAAGAGACTGTTAAATAAGGAAAAAAGTAGTGTGAATTTAGTCTTAAGAAAGCCAGAATGAAGATAGTAAGATACAAGCTGGTAGTTAATTATGTTTAGTGGCAAGTGCTCTATGCAAATTTAAAATTTGGAATGATCACAGTTATGGTCAGATTCGTAAGAAAGATGTTGGTTTGTCCCTGTGCAATATTTTAATCATTGGCTATTAAGATCATGGTTAGTTTAAAAATGTGGGTACTTTTTGTATTTTTCCAAGTTTTTAAAAAGCATTGTTTTGTAATTAGTGGGGGGAAATCATTCAACTAAAATGAACTAGTAGTGAGGGAATATGTGGATGAGTTAATCTGTACTGTGTTTGGGGTAATGAAGAAGACAGTCCTATTTCAGTGCCTGCTGCATATGAGCCACTTTGGTAGGCACAATCCCATCTTGGAAATGGCTGGTTGTTACCGGTAGAAATATCCCGAAACTACATTTGCTTAATCTGAGGAATCAGGTTACTGAAACACCCTGAATCATGGTGTTATGGTCTTGGCTTTTCTAAACATTGTTTAGTGAATGAATTTAAGGTTTAAAAAAACCAAACCAATTGTGCAGTTGAGTCATTTTAACTGCCTTTTGGCCTTACAGCCTTCCCTCCACCCATACACTGATTTATAGTTCCTCTCTTCAGTGGGTTTGTAATGGGTTTAGGAAAGTCTCAGTTCACTAAGGCAACATGGAAGTGCTGAATTTGCATATAACAAATTTAACTTAAACACTTAAAATTCATCCTTGTTTTCTGTTCCCAGTTTGAAGAAGAAAAGAGATAAATTTCAAGAAAATAAGCTTTTCTTATCAGATAATTATTCCAAAGCAGTTTGGTAGCATTTGCCCTAGGGTTAGTACAGATTTATTCCAACCTTCTAAGTCAAGAATGGTACTTAGTTTTTAGTTTAATTTAATTTAGCCCATAGGAGTTATGGGAGGAAATTTAATATTTCCTCTAGGCACTGTACTATGTTCCTTAAATAAATTATCACATTTAATTCTTATGCAATTGTCTAAGGTGGTTATCTCATTTTACTAAGAGAATGAGGCTTAGAGAAGTTAGTAACTTTCCAAAGGTGGGGGAGCTAAGTGGCAGAGCTGAGATTCAAACTTTGCTTTACCTAACTTCAAAACTCTTGCATATGAAACATACAGCAAGAAGGAATTGTTTTATATTAATACATACAACTGAAAAAAAATGCCACATAGCCTTTGGTATTTAGTAAGTATTTGTTACCTTAGAAGATGAGATTCTTACTCTGTATGTTTGTGCTTTGTGAGACATGGTCTTAAATGATGCTGATTTTTGTGTGTCTTACAGGGTACATTATATTTTATTGCTTTAGAGATGTATGTTTTCACATTTTTGTATTTTTTGAAATGAATATTTTACAGTGTCTATAGTTTTTTTGTTTAATATTTACAAAATGGATACTATGTCTTAAAGTCAAAAATGTCTCAGAATTAAGGAAATGTGGTATGTGTACGTAGTCTTCAGGTATAATTGTCTTGGCAGTTTGTTGTGTGCATTTTCTTCCCAGCATCCTCCCTTTACTTAGCCTTTTTTTTGTTCTTTTTTTTTTTTAAGTATGGTATAATACAGAATTGAAGTATATATTAATAATAAAATAGTCATTCTCTTTAGTTTGTGAATATTATGGTATAGAAGAAAGTATTTTGATGTAGAAAATTCACATTGCACTGTGAATCAGC